CGGGGGCTTCGCGGGGCGTCTGAAACCCTCAAGAAACAGAGAAAACCGCGTCTTTTTCACGTGTAACAGACACCGAAAACGCCAGACAAGGCCGATTCCGCCACAGCGCACCTAACGGCGGGTCTGAAACGCTCAAGAAACAGAGAAAACCACGTCTTTTTCACGCATTCCACCCTCCGAGAGCGCCAGACACGGCCGATTCCGCCACAGCGCAACTAACAGCGGGTCTGAAACCTTCAAGAAACAGATAAAAGCGACGTCTTTTTCAAGCGTTCCACCCTCCGAGAGCGCCAGACAAGGCCGATTCCGCCACAGCGCAACTAACGGCGGGTCTGAAACCCTCAAGAAACAGAGAACACCACGTCTTTTTCACATCTTTTTCACGCATTCCACCCTCCGAGAGCGCCAGTTCCGCCACAGCACAACGGCAGGTCTGAAACCCTCAAGAAACAGAGAAAACCACGTCTTTTTCATGTCTTTTCCCTACCGGTGTCAGCGGGCACAAACCCGGCCTCGGAAACCCTCTCCAAACACAGCACCCAGACGCAGGTCTCTTACTCAGGTCCCGCTCGCAGTTCTCTTGCTCAGGTTGGACTCTTCCCTTACGCGCTCCCCCTGACTTCGGCCGGGGTCGGCGGATATAGAAAGATGGAGGCCACGAACCAAACACATTTGGTTACATATGCTGATGCTTATCTATTAAGAGAGGGGGGCCCAGTAATCAATCTTTTTGCGCAAAATTATCACAGCGACTTCTGTGTACATAAGCATTTGCGACATGTGACTGCTGAACATACACACCTGGCCAAATCCTTTTTCGGCCACTCTTATGTTGCACTCTTGCAGAACTGTCTTGTAGGACTCTCTTGTGGGACACTCTTATATGACATTCTTGTGGGACACTCTTGCGGAACACTCTTGTGCAACACTCTTGTGCGGCACTCTTGTAGGACACTCTTGTCGGACATTCTTGTGGGACACTCTTGCGGGACACACTTGTTTGTCACTCTTGCGCGACACTCTTGTAGGACACTCTTGCGAAACAGTCTTGTAGGACACTCTTGTGGGACACTTTTGCATGTCACTCTTGTGTGTAACACTCTCGTAGGACACTCTTGTCGGACACTCTTATGGGCCATGGGGCACTCTTGCAGAACTGTCTTGTTGGACACTCTTATATGACACTCTTGTGGGACAGACACTCTTGCGGAACACTCTTGTACAAGACTCTTGTGGGAAAGTCTTGTAGCACACTCTTGCAGGACACTCTTGTGGGGCACTCTTGTAGGACGCTCTTGTGGGACACTCTTGTAGGACGCTCTTGTGGGGCACTCTTGTAGGACACAAAGTACTGCGCCTGCCACGAAATGTTACTTCCTCACCTCAAAACCCGCACAAAGTACTGCGCCACTGTTGATGCTCTCACGTCCCAAGGCGCGTAGTGGTTGAAGAATTGAATGAACTTCCTCTTGTTCCCTTGTCTCCTCCTGGCAGTATCCCATGTTTCACAATGGATGTCAGTCTCGATAAGGTCGTGACATGGAAGCTTCCACCAAGTTGAATCGCTATGCCACGAAAAGTAACAATATCATATCATGTGAGCTTCAATAAAATTTGCACCACACCACACGTTGGGAATGATTTCGACCCGTTCTGAGCACACTCCCATCCACCAAAATCGCCACTTCAGCTGAGACTCGTCACGAAAACAGAGCTTCGATGTAACACCCTGAAACACAAATCCCAATGGCACAGCCACATCCAACACCCCAAAAACACCACTCTCCAAACGCTAATCCCAATGTAACTGCGCAGAAAACTGCCGATCTCGCAAAAAGCTGCGCCTGCGCAGTGAACTCATCTTCCACACTTCAACTTCTGACGTTTCCACACGTTTCCTCGCTACTTCACACGAATCTGACACATCACGCTTCAATGCCAAACTGACTCCGAAACCTTCCCCCAATGGCAGCAGCCTTAGCGTCCTCATGCGAACGGCGCAGTCAGTTGCGGACAGCTGCGAATGGCTGCGGACGGTTAGACATGCGAACGGCGCGGTCGGTTGCGGACGGCTGCAAACGGCTGCGGACGGTTGACAACGGGTCGCGAACAAGGCTCTACCCCCAGACCCCCAGAGTTAAACGACCTTCGCTACGCATTCAGGAAAAAACAAAGTTGCAAAGTTGCAAAGCCCAGTTTGTCGACAGCGACGCAACAGACCTTGCACGTTGCTAGAGTTTTGCGGAGGGCAAGGAAGAAATCCTTCATTTGCAGCTCAAAAGTAGTGCATGCAGGTCCATGAAATTCGGCTCTTCGAGGCAAGCAGGGAAAAGGGGGGAAGCGGATGAAAGTGGCATCAGTTGGCATGAATCTGTGGTGCACAACTCGCGCAGTTTGAAACGCAAACAAAAATGTGTCTCACCCACTCCAAGTACAGAACACTTATATACTTCTTGTTAGTTTGCTTTGCGTGCATTTTAAGAAATTCTGTATAGGGTGTGGAGAATGCTCACATCCAACTGAAAGTAATTTTGTGTTATAGATATAAAAGGTGGTGCTGGAATTGCTATTGTCCAGTGTTTCTTCCGATCTTGGTCTAGGACACACCACCACCTAATGAAATTTGAGGGTTACCACAACTCAAAGTTCAAGCACAGAAATAGAAGGTTTTTCCTGATACAAGTCTTTGGTACTGGACCAAAAACCGATTGAAACCCACATACCAAATCATACCAAGGATTTTCTCTTTCCACCCTAGTGTGAATCAGAAATCCTCCAACTCATTGAGTTGTATTCACATGTCCGCGGTGCCGTTTTTCAGGTCATTCTGGCTCATGTGGAAGATAACTGGTGCCGGGAAACGAAGGGGGCACTGCAAGCGGGATGTGAACAGGGAGATGATGTTAGATGTACTTTTCCGCCCACATACGTAGAAACAGAGCACCAAGAATAATGTTTGCATAATATGTTTGCGAGGCATCGTTTGCACCCTCATTGGTGGTAAATCCATCAAGTACTTTTGTGTTGGTGCTATGTCGATGTCAGAACAACTTGTTTGCTGTGTGCAAGAGCGCTCGGCCCTTCTAAGGAACCAACGTAATTGACCAGATTGAAACTCGAATTTACGGAGCGAAGCAGTTTCAGTTCAGTTTTCCCGCATGATTCTCCTGTCAAAAGCGTTCATCCTCATAAGTTTATTCCATTAAAATGTGAGATTTGTATGTACATACATTTACACGTACGTGTACGTAGACCCTGACCCCACTTTACACAAACAAATGTTTCTCATCCTGGCCACTTGGACGACTGCGCATGAAGACTACAGACATCGACTAGAGAGGTACGACTACCCTGCGTGGAGCCTCGCGGAGATCGGTGCCGCGCTGGCGCCCATCATGCCTTCGGCTAGGTTCGAGAATGTGTGCCCTCATGAGCGGTCAAATGAGCGGGATGTAGTGTGGGATGGTTTTGAGATGTTTGAGCCTTCCTGCGAAATGCCACTTGATCTACAGAATCTACATGGGTACATATGGGTATATAGATGGGTGGATAGCATTGGCTGTCCTTCGAGAAGGTGCCGAGCAAGTTGTGATTGATGTATGCTACCTCCAAAGCCATTCATCAAATCCTTTTGCCAAAGGTACCGACAGATGCTCACGCAGATTCGCCATGATCGTGATACATTGAACTTGAGGCCCTAATCAGCTAATGCTATGGCACGGGGAAAAGCATGGCAAAGCTTGGCAAAGTTCGAAGCATTTCAAGCAGGAGGACTCAAACAAAGTTGCCAATGCGGATGAGTATGTGGATGAGTAGCATTGACTGTGAAAGAGATTGCGAAACTGAAAGAGAAAGCGTATGATGCAACGAGCGTGATGTTTTACTGCAGACAGAACACATGTTTGTGATCGCAGGGGTCTCACAGCGGCCGCACGCTTCATGGCCGAAGTGGATCACAAAGGGCAGTTCCTTCCTGGCTTTGCTGAGGCAGGGGCCAAAAAAGGGGCTTGGATACAGTATGGATTGTCCTCCAGACTGAGGTGTCAGTACCATGAAGAGTGCATTTGTGAGATGATTACAAGCAGGCAAATGCACAGGACAACAGCTAAGGGACTTGTTTGCTACTGTACAAAACTGTACATTGTTTGCAATGATCCTGGAAGAGAGGCTTTGGCACAACGGTTCATGGCACTCAAGGATGAGTCGAAGGAACGTGGGGCTTCTTAGCAAGGTGGAAGGGTCTACAAATGGCCAGGTATGGCAGCGTGTGTTACGATATGTTATATAGGTACTTCAAGAAAGGAAAGGTGTTTTATTTGGTTGTGGACCCCCGTAATGAAAGCGTGAATGCACAGAGCGGTCTGCAGCTGTGTTTTGGGTGGCATGTCTGTCAACTTTGTAAAGACAGCGTCATGCGTGAGCACTATACACGATATTACATAATATTACATAATATTATATGTATAATGTATATAATATATAATGCATTTTATACAGTACATGTTATAATATTTATATGGATCTATAAGTGATACCAATAGAATTGCAGGATGTCGATTCTGTGAAAGCTGTGCACTCCGTCCTTAGAACTCCGAGTTTACGATGAGAGCAGAGTACATCCTTGCACAGGGTCCAAGGACAAATTGAGACGGTTAGCTGGAGGATCGGTTCTTGACTCATTCACAAAGAAGTCAACATTTGAAAGGGGAAACACGGCAAGTTCTGTGATCTACTGTATTCTTGGTGGTAAGGAGTTGCCTACTTACCCGCTGAAATGAGCTTATGCTTCCGGCGGATCAGGGTTCAGTCATGGCTGAGTGGCTGAGGTTATGACGTGGCGCGAGTGACGGAAATCTTTGCGAAACGATGCGGGGCGCAAAGCGGTCGACAAGACGGTTTTGCAGGGTTCTGAGAAGAATGAAAGCGATTTTTTCCGCTCCTACTCAATCAAGTAAGGAGGTAAGCTACTAGGAGAAGTTCGCTCCTAGCTAAGACGCGGGATAGCTCCTAGATGTTTAGGGACACTTAACTTGTTTGGTTCTTTGTTTACATATACATAGACGATCTATGTTTCGAGCGGAGGCCCAACTGTATACTGCAATTGATGTTTTCTAATAATAGGACGGGTGCATAGATGTCAGGGTATTTGAAACATGTCATTGTGATCCTGTAGAAGCCAGCGCAGTGTTTTCGTTTGGCATTGTGTGGTCCAAGCTAATATACTGTCACACCACTACATGTGGATTGGATGTGTCGTCATCCTACACTGGCCTGTACTAACTGGATAGCCAACGACTGTGCGTATCAAGCGTGATACTCACCTTTACCCTTTACCCTATTTAGGCCTTCAACTCAGGATAGATGCTCCTCTGACCAAACATGTTCAGGAAGGACAGAAAGAAAGCACCTAATTATATAGAGAAGCTTGGGGGGTCTTTCAATGTTAGGCTGATGCTGAAGGTTGTGCGTGGTCGGTCCCTGACCTTGACCGAACTGAGAAGTTACATGAAGTCACTATCAAATCTTGCTAGCCTAATAGCGATGGCCTCCACCCTAATTGCAATGGCCTCCAACCTACTAGCGATGGCCTCCAGTAGCCGTTTATTGCATGAGAAAAAGCCAAGGTCCGGAAGACCAAGCCCTCTTCTCGACACTTTGCCGTCGCCTCACCGCTTTGCAGATGTGAACCAAACGAACGGCAGGAGAAAAATCAAGCTGGCAGATGTCTATAGCGTGGGGACGACCTAATGGTCTGAATTATGGTGTGTCTCATTTCTGCTGTAAGTTGGTCGAATCAATTTTGTTGCAGCCTCCCTGACGACGGTGTTGGTTTCAGTGCATGCCGGGGGTATGTCAGTTGTTTGTGTTGCGTACAAGCAGAGATGTTGCCTTGCGTCAGGATTGTTGGGGAAAGGCCCAGGCAGGGACCTTCAGAATGAATCCCCAGACCCTTTGACTTTGGTTTGCTTGTGTAGTACAACCAGCATTGTCGCCAACCAGCATTGTCGCCAACCCAACATCAACGTCACACAGTGGCGTCAAAAGTTGAACCCTTGAGCCTGGGGACATGCAGCTTCAGTTTCTACCAGAAAAAGTGCTGGCTCACCTGCTACTGTCCATTGTTCATAGTCTGGGGATGTTCATTCGTATCATATCCGGTCCAAAAGCACACCCATTGGGCGGTGCTTGATACAGTCACTTAATGAGGTGTTTGATGCGGTCTTCCCCACGTCACACTTGGGATATGCTTAGCCCACACAAATCTAGAAAGAAAGAAAGAAAGAAAGAAACACGAATCTAGCACGAACGACGTTTCGTTTGTGCCTTTTTCGATTCTTTTCTTTTTTGTTTTTCGATATGGACGTTTTGGGAGACAGGACTCGGTGGACTCGGGACTGACTCGAGGTCGGCATTTGCATCGACACCTGGGCATTTTCGAGCCAGTGGACTTCGTGCGCTTTACCCGTGGCCACGAGCCCCAAGGGACTTCAAGGGACCTGTTGTGGTCTTGGAAGATGGGGGAGATTGGTTTGAGCGATCTATGATTCTATGGAGGTCTGAAGTACTTGGAGTTGGATGTTGCTGATTCAGATCTTAACACTTATATATATTGTGAATGAGGCCTGCTGTGATCAGCGAGATCATCATCCAACGCATAACGCATCCAGTGTTCAAGGGCACTCATGCCAAAAACGTTTGCCTTGAGCTGGGGCCAAGTTAATAAAGTGCACCTTACCGGGGAAGATTCTCAGATCGTGTTTCTACCAGAGCTCCAGCATAGGACGCCCGTGTGAAATTGGTCACACCATGAGATTGTGTGTCATGGATCAGTCCAATAAGCTCCAACTGATCTGCCACACCACTTCGCCATCCGGTCGGAGGCTTGGCGGCGTCCGAGTGCTCCCGACGTTGCCTGTGGTAGGGTCAGTCCACCATCTCCACCCATTGTTCTTGGCAGAGCCTGCACCCCCGTTTAATGCTGTTTCCTGTCTTGCCGTTGCCGAACACAAAATGGCCTCCACAAGACCAAGTAGTCAGAATGTTTGGCATAATTGAAGTGCGTGTTGCAACTTGTTGAAAATATATAGATAGTTGGCGCATTACTTCACTCAACGACCAGAGATGTGGCCTCACCCTGTTCAAGCTGCTCAAGTCGTTTGAAGATGTCGACCAAAGAGGGAAGTGTTGTCTCAATTGAGCAAAGCTGACCTCAGTTTAACGACAAAGTTTCAGGTACCGAGATCAACGAGTGACGCATGCCCTTCCCAAGTGGGCCGGAAGCCAAGTAGAGAAGATGATTTACAAAGATCACCTCTGACCAGCTTCACCAAAGCTTCCGGGGCTGTTCAAGTTGACATAGACTGACTACATGGCGGCAACAATTGATTCATGATTCTGCATGATTCTTCCGAGTTCGAGGCTCAGAAAAGACACCAGGAGTTCTCTCCACACGACTGGGCCGTACCGGCTTAGTTTGCTTTGCCTTTTTGCGGCCTGAACAAGTTGAGCAATTGATTTTTACATGTGAGGGCAATCTTGATTAAACATGTTTCGGGAGTTTTCAGGATACTAGGTTTCCCTAAACATCGGAGGGCCATTTACTACTAGTAACAAGTGCCACGCTAGTAGTAAGAAGTGCCTTATTAGTAGTAACAAGAAGCTATTAGAATTAAATTGAATTTAAATTAATAGCTTCTTGTTACTACTAGTAAGGCACCTGTTACTACTAGCGATGCACTTGTTACTGTGTTCACAGATGCTGTGCAGTCCTTTTTTATGCGGTTCACCTTGGCTCCGATGTGCCAGGATTCCTTCGTAACCTCCTTGACAAAGTTAGGGGCATCCGACGTGCGAGAGAGCCAACTCCGAGAGATCGGCCAGGAGCCTCAGGAAAGTTTGTTGGTTTGGAAACCAAAGACGTACTCAAGGCCTTACAACACTTTTTAACCATATAGTATATAGAATGTCAAAAGATATTATACAATAAAGGCGTATATGACTTCATTCTCATTACCTCAGGACGACCATAGATTTGGGGCTCGAACTTTGCCACAATACAGTCTACACGCAGGTCTGGAGAGGTCGACATCCGGAAAACGTCCAAAACATGTCAAAGCTGTGTGTCATGATATAAGAAGATGCTTTTGAGGGCCACCAGCTCCCAGCGAACCCGCGACCTTCAGCGGTGGGCAAATGGCGATGGACCTGGCCTTGGTCTGAAGGGAAGATGAAAAAATAAGGCGAAAACAGAGATGAGGAAAAAGGTAAGGGTACCTTTAATAAGGGGCCTTGTTAAATGGGCCCTTACATTCTCAAAGCGACAGATCATACAGTAAGAAATCACGAGGCTCTTTGACAGACGCACGCATGCATCTTTTGGGCTGCACATTGAGGCGAAAGCTCAGATCACATCGAATGGATAAAAAGTTGGCCAGCTGCGGATGATGGCCAAATTCTGCAGTTGTTCAAATCACATTTGAAGCAGGTTAATGCGGTCTTCCACCGCAGATGACACCCACTAGCAGCTAGCATCTGCTAGCTTGGAAACATGCGCTTAGTGGTTGATAGATGTTGATAGTAGCAGCAGAAGGCATTACAATCTTGAAGCGCACGTGCTGAATTTGTCCTACGAGCTTTTCACCTTGGGTTTCCTTGATGAGACGGTCATCATTTCTTTCTGACAAAACCAAGATAGCTTCAGCTTGAGATGTCCCGCTAGGTTTGCAGGTTCAGCTTTGATGTCATCAGGAGAATGGTCTTGGCTGCGACAACATGACACTCATGGCCAGCCCTCAGTGCTGAGAGGATTCCTTCTGGAGCTGTGGCAAATTCAATATGTCTTTGTCAGAGTGAGATGTTCAATTGTCCTCCTTGTCAGAAAACCCTTCCTCAATCGTCCGGAGGTCATTGAGCTGCAGCCACCGGGCAGACAGGAGACTTGGAGGGTAGGAGCATGACATCAGCGAAAGAGGAAGAACCCAATAAGTAAGAGTCCGGCTAGTCCGTCTAATGGATTTGGGAGGCTTCATTGCCTTGGTGGGTAAACTTCATCGCCTTGGTGGGTAACCAGAGGGTCCCAACCTTCAATTCCAGCATACGGCCCCAGAAGCCGCAGAAGCCGGCGAAAGCTAGGTGGAAGACACTCCGCGCTGCGATTCTCCCAGATCCGATCACACACACCTCTGTGACAAGAAAAGTGTGGTTGTGCCAGTGGTGAATTCCGCAATCAGCGTTTTATATATATATATATAAATACATCGTTTCTTATGCGTTGTAGCGTCCTCAATAGTCGTACAACTGCAGACTCGCAAGATGCTAACCCACGCCTGTGTATTCGGTTTTGTGGATCCATTTGTTGGTTTTGTGATGAGTGCGGTTGGATTGAAATTGATGTGTATATATTATATATATATATGTTGTGAAAGCCATGATGGTGTATGATGGTGTATGCGTATGTGATGTCGATAGAACTTGTGTGAAAGCGCCCGAACACCGTTGGGCTCAGACCCGCAGCTCCACCAAGTTCCAGATTGCTGCAGATCCGTGTTTATTCTGCCTTGTTGGCCACAGCTTTCTTTGTTGATTGAAAGGTCATTTGCACTTGTGCAACAGATGCCAGCCAGTTCACCCCCGTTATCACTGAAGAAGGGGTCGTTGTATGGCTTTTGTGATGCTTCATGGAATGTGACCAGTGTGTCTGGTGCTTGGCGTGGATGCTGTTTGAAGTGTTTTAGGCGACAGGAGGTTCCCGCGTCGTCCTTTGCGGGAGCGGAAGCGATTGCCATCACGGAGGCTGGCATTTCTCTGCGGATGTTGATCGAGACAGCTCGGAATGGGATTCCTCTTGATGAGATAGGCATGCCAGCCAAGACGACAGGCAGCATGACATAGGTAATCATTCATTTGTAGAACTGGCATCAATCCTCCATCCGCCACGAATGTATGCGTTTGTCGGAGAGTGACCCCTTGTGGGACGCATACTTGTAGCAGAGCATAGCACAGCATAGCATGTCAGCATCACATCACAAGGTCACGTCCTCCATCACTCAAGCATACGCAGACTTACTTAGCCTATAGACATGGAGTATGAAACACTGCCTTTGAACCCATGCATTGCTAGACCCAACACTAATCTGTATTGTGGGCCCTCTTTGAGGGGGCCAGTCCCATCATCAAAGATGCTTGGATGAGAAAGTTCTGCGTTGCCACAAACTTGTACCAGAGAGACGGGGTATGTTCGGACAACCTACATAAATTGAATGAAATGCAGCAGGCGCATGGATGAATGAGGATGAATGCAACGAGTGTGGTTCGCGCGGGTGCGAACGGAGCTGGTCACAGTCGCGGCTGTCACGGGTGGCTTCTGCGCGTTGGGGTTTGAGGATTTGAGGACGCGTTGGCACAACTAGATGTGGAAAGTGATAGTCAGCCAAGTGGTACGCCGGGGATTGAAAACCATCGGTAGTGCTGCGAAAGGTTGGCGGAAGCATTCTTGCGCAGACCCAAGCCATTATCCAATTCGCACGGGCAGGGCGCGGAAGGTTGGACCTGGTGCATGCTTTGCCCTGGACATGTGGAGCGGATGCTCGCAAAGCCGTCATTCGCTTGCACGTGTACTTCTGAGCCCACCGTGGCTTGTGGTCGGTCTCATTGGGGCGCTTGCCCCACTCTGCAATGCATAGACCGTTTGTGGCCAAATGAGTGTTGGCCACATGATGCTTCTGGACCAATTCGAGAGCTGTGGGAGTTTTGTTTGCGCAACAGCCCTGCTCAGCTTGCCAATCCCCAACTTTGCACGCGCACTTGCCTTTTCCAGCGGCTGTTTTTAGCGGCACCGAAGCATTGGGAGACTTCTCTGCAAAGGCACGTCAACCACACGCGCCCTCCCTGCGGGTCTTCTGATGTTGTGTGCGGGTGATTTGGGGGGGTTGAAGAGCAGGCAGCACTCCGCAACACATTCGCAGCATTGAACATTGGGCAATATTTAGATTCAATTAGATCTATATAGATGTATTTACTGCAAATAGTTTGATCTATTGTAAATGTTGCATATTGTTACTAATTACGCGGTGATGTGAGGAAGTGATACGTGGCGATACAGTACAGTGGTACAGGTTGGATTTTGGCGCCTCTCGAGGCGGCTAGTTTTGGATATGCTTGGGCTTTAGCTGTCTAAGAGCGCCACAAGACAAATCTCCCCTCATCCATTCTTGGTTTGGGTGCTCAAACATGTTTTTGCTGGATTTTTGGCAAACCGATTCTTTTTTGCTGCACCTGCCAGGAGAAGATCTTGCTGCGCTCACCCCACTTCAACAAGGCCACAGGATTCGAACAGCGACTTATACTTGCCTAAGAAGGTTCCTGGGGCCCGTAGTAATTAAGTGTTCATTCTAAGTTGTCAAGCCTACATTGCCTGCTTTGTATGATGGATCTGGTTGATGAGACCATTTCTTGATCGGTTCGTTTGTTCGATCCCTGTGCTTGAGGCGCTCTCACCTTCGTCCAGGAGACGATTAGTCATGAAGCGTCAAGCTTTTCAGCGGCCTAAGAAGCAGGTGGTGAAAGGCATTGACAAGCGGGGTTGAAGGTACTACGTGCTGCTTCAACAAGTCCACACTTCTTCAACTGTTACATATTGTTTTACAAATCCACAAAACGGCCCAAGCAACAAACGTAAATCTTGAGATAGCATCTTGAATCTTGCTGCGACTCTGGATGCCAGAAGGTAAGAAAATATGCTTGGAGTGTTTGGAGCAGTACCAAGATCGAATCAAGTCACTTGAGATGTCCACGTGCAGTCCTTCAGAATCACGGATGGGCTGTTTGTGAGAGGTGTGTTTTGATACCTACCAACACAATAACCACACAATACCTAGTCGGATTGACACTAGGCCCTAGGCAGTCGCATGGTCGAGCACTCGTTTGAGCATGTTTGTTTAAGTTGAGTTTTTTCATTGGAAACCTGATCACATGAGATCACATTGCAGGCCAATTTTCTTTGGTGGGCACGACGCTTGCATTTCCATCACATGATCTAGAATCAAGAGATATCTAGAGGCTGTTGATGCTTGTTGTCCTGGTCCTGTTTAGAGATGTGCACAGTCCCCGTGGTCACCCAAGCTTTCCCGAAGTAATTGTCGAGGCAAGTGTTCTTGCGCCTTTGGCTCAATACCGCCCCACCATGTGATAGTGACAAATATGCAGTGGTTCAGCTCCTGAAAGTAGCATCCTTCACATCACCGGATGTGGGCATTCAGTCATGGATGAACTATTGATGAACCCGTCCACTCTCGAACATCCACAACCCAGACGACCAGATGTCGAACTGCGGCTTCCCGAACACATCGGCGACATGAGCCACTTTGGTGTTCCCATGGATCCTGGCAATGATGAACTGTAGTCTTTCGATGTCTTTCGTTGGTTTGGTTTGAGGTACAATCTAGTTCTTGAGCGTTTGGGGGACTTGCTTTAAATCTGTGTCAGTGGTCCTATTTGGTGAACTGAATTAAAAACATGGAACTGCCTAGTCTGGTTTGGAAGTTGATGTTCCTTTGTCATGTTCGACCTAGGTCGTTTTTACTATCCTAGCAACTTCGAACAGCCGAGGATCCCAACTGGACCGGTGCAGCACCTTGGTCCAGCTGGACTCCACCACCACCGCCGCTGGACTTGTTTGCTCCGCCCTTGACAGCAACGGCCTTTGTTCCACCAGCCTTTGCTGAAGCGAGTGGAGTTGCAGGAACTCCCCCTGCTCCTCCTCCTCCCACACCGATGATACTAAGCTGAATTAACTTGAAGCTGTGTATCAAAGCAAGTCGAACAAGTTGGATAGCAAGCTATCAGCATGGACAAGGAATGTCGCTTTGATTAAACTGAACTGCAGTTTGGGTTTGTTTCTTCCAGTGCGGATTAATCGAATGTATTTGCACCTGACTCAAGATGTTTGTTCCCCCTTGTTTGCCCATTGTCTCACTTAAAAGCTATCTTTCGCTGCTCCAACTTGGTTGCTGCACAAGCAGTCCAGCTCTGGGAATGATTCCTGCAGTCCTGCGGTGTTGTGTTTTCTCGTTCAACTTCCTATAATACATTGCCATCCATTGCCATCCAGTTGATGGGCAGCCTTCAGATCACCTGGTATAGAGACCCTTTAGCTGAGATCTCGCAGTGTGGGCCCAAACTCTTTCAACTTTTTTCTCACGGCGATATTTTCTTATTCCAGCCACGCCTCTTGGTTGTTGATGTTATTGAATCTTTCACAGGACAGTGTTTTTGCTCATGCTGTTTCCTTAGTCTTCTTGACTTCCTACCTTGATCTTGTGCAGAATACCCTTTTGATGGTTGAGATTCCTGGAGGCACAGGAAAGTATGTGAGTGTCGCAGCCTTTGAGAGTGTATATGTATACGTATATCCGCTATGAACCCCAAAAACAACAGAGAAAGTGGTGACAAACCATGAAGACCCACTTTCTATCGCTTCTTGTTAAATTAAATTAATAGCTTCTTGTTACTACCAGTAAGGCACTTGTTACTACTAGCGAGGCACTTGTTCCTACTAGCAAACAAAATCCTCCAAACACAAATTCTGTCGTTTTTGTTACCCGAGGCCTTCCAGTACAGAGGCAACGGCACCTTCCAAGGGCGAATGTATCATTTGCATCCAGGCGGTGAGAGCTTACAGGGGATCTTGCTGTGTATATATATAGTATTTTTCTTAGCCTGGAAGGGCACTTCAGTTACTACTGAGTTACTGGTAGCTATTAAGTAGGCGTATCTTGGACGCAGAAGGGCTCGGCTGCCCCCGCCTGACAACCGTGGGAGAGCTTCCTTGAAGAAGCCCGAGCCTTAATAACATGGTTCCTAGATATTTTTGGGAAACTTAATTCTTGTAATTAGAGGAGCTCCTAGTTATTGACAAAGTATACCACAGAACTTGACTAACTGAACGCGAAACACCAAACTGCATGCAACAGGGTCAAATAAGAAGAAAATCTGCCAAAATAGAAGACAGGACTTGGAGGACCTTCATCGCACACAGTTCCGCTGACTGGCAACTATCGGAATTTATCCTTGTTTCGTTTAAACTGATTTTTACATGGGAGAACTTGTCCACAAATGTTTTCGTAAAGAGGATCAAAGAGGTGCTCTCTTTGAGGCATTCTGATGTGTGAGGGCCGGTTGCATGAAGGATTCAGGCCAGGCTAGGATCCGCAGTTTGCCCAGGTATGGATGCTGCCCCGACCCATGCAATTGTGCCTTGCGGCCACAAGGTGCTTTGTGTGACGTGCACCCGTGCATTCCACCGAAAGCCTTCGTCACAACGAGTTTGCCCCTTGTGTCGCGGGCCCATCGGTGGAATCTTCCAGATATTTGCAGCTGCAGAGTCTGATCCGCCTGCAACACCGCCACCTTCCACCGAAGCGCCGAAACCTCGAATGCCAGAGACACCGCAAACGTGGGCAGGAAACCATCCTTGCTCCAGTGACCCTAGTCAGTCTGGAGATGCGCCCTGGCGTCAATGGACACCATCAGCACCGTCTCTAAGGTTGACGCCAGCACCATCGTGGCGGGCACCAGAAATCCCTCTCCTTGATCCTCTTATTTCAACTTGGTCTGCTCCTTCTACAGGAGAAGCATGGGAAAGTTGGCACACGCCTACCACCTCAGAAGCAGCTTGGAGCCCTGCTTTTCGTCCTTCGCCTACACGCAGTCCTGGCATCATGCCCCCTACTCCACCAACTCCACCATCATTGTCAGCACCTCTCACTCCCTTTCTCACATCTGGGCCAATGCCCGCTACTCCACCACTTCCAGGCAGCCCCGGTACTCCCAATGACTGGGTGCGGGGCACGCTGACTCCTGGAGACGTCGACACCGGCACCCTTTCCCCGTTTCCGCCTGGAGACACCGGGAGCCACTCCCCCTTTCCGCCAGCGGTGGTGGTTCCTGACGACTACGAGGACGACTGGGAGAGTGTTGATCGTGAGATGTGAGGAGTGTAAGGGGCCTGAGAATAGCAGTAACCAAGTCAGCTTGTGGGTCAAACAAAAGTTAGTTGCTGGATGTTGCAGGTACCTGCTCCAATCAAAGCATCTTAAATCTCTCAAGCTGGTCAGGAAGACTCAAGCTGGGAAGCGAAGTTGCAGCAGTTGTGCGAGATGGGTTTTGAGGACTGGGCCTCACTTGCATGCCCTTCCATGCCATCATGCCCTGTCAGATAGTGTGTTACAACCCCTGTCATAGTGCACTGAACAATTTCAGCTGTCAGCCGGGTGACCACAAAAGGGGAAGCCTCCAACCTCGTTCAATAAGTCGACGTCCGGCATGAATTGTTGCCGGGTGACCAATATATACATATTCAAGACATGTCAGGCATTCATTCAGATTAACATAGATTAACCCTGAATGACTCAATCTCAAACCCGAACAGATTTGGTACAGAGAGGCACGTTGCTCAATTGACTTGAAGAATCGGAAATATCACAACCGATTCCGATATGTCCCAAGGGGCAGACTTTTCGCTAGCGTGAGATGCATGCAAGAGTGGTTCGCAAAATGAATACGAAGAGTTGGAGGATGGAGGTGATTCATGGCGGAGGCTATCGCCTCTAGGTTAAAGGCCGCTATTTGATGCTATCTCGTTGGAGGTGATTCACGGTGATGAATCTGATTCTCCATGGGTTACCGTCGAGGCTCAGAGCGACCCAAAGCGTGGCCAGGATCTTCAGAGTCGCCAAGCGCTTCTCAGCGCAGAGGGCGAAATGGAGCGTGCTGTGGCGATCCTCATCAGCCAGTCGGAGCTGCCCTCACGGCCACACGGTTTGAGCGTGGTCAGATGGGAGAATCCTTTGGTGTGAGCCATGGTCAAGATGTTGTTGTGTTTTGTTTGTATTGGATGAAAATACATCTCCAAAGCCTAAATGACTCACCAAGCTCCCATATCTTGTGGGCCTTGTGCAACTTTCGATGTTCCGGGGTGTGTAATCACAGGAGGCTTGAGAAGACAACCTTTTTGAATGGTTAGTGAACCTGTGGATGTTTGGTATGCGGAGGATGCAAGCTACAGCTGCACCTAGCCCTATAGTTGGTCGAACAAAATCAAGAGCTTGGAGATCATTTGCTCATCGCAACCAGCGGTTTGCACATTTTGCACTCAGGCCGCCCCCCTCACCTCCATCACCTTCACCGCCACCTCGGCCCCCGCGGAGCCCTCTGCGGAGCCCTCCGCGGCGCAACCGGAGCCGCTCGCGGCGCCGGAACCGCAGCCGCTCGCGGCGAGAGGAGTGGCGGCGACGGGAGAGGCGGAGTGACTCACGCGATTCACGGCACCGAAGCGATTGGCGGCGATGATCGCAAAAAGGGGTGGCGATCATGGTGAGGTGGGTTTGATTGGGTTTGGCTACTTGGAAGGATGGAAGATAGGGAAGCTCCGCAATTGAATGTGTGACACAACACATCAGGAATGCCTACGTGATACAGTACAAGTTTAAGTGCCTGCAACCTAACTTTTAAGATGGTGTTGTTTGTGCATGTGTATCTTCTTGTGCTTCATGCACAGAGAATGTTTATCACACTTCAAAATGTAGTTGAATGTAGCTCAACTTAATGTGGGACGGTGCAATTTGTTTTGCAGGGTAGCTTCCGCATGCAATTAACTTCGGATACTGAGCTTTTGATCGCTCGTTCCAGTTCTGAGCAAGGACCTCAACAACGTTGCATGTTTGATCATGTTTGCTGATCAAGGAGGAGAGGGGTGATGTTCAGGAAGTCCCAGAGTCCCAGAAGAAATGATTCCATTCCTCAACTACTTGCACGGCTACCCTGGCCCTGTTGGGATTGCGACAATAATGTCCCCACCAGATATCTTCTTTGCCTCCACGTTCAGTCTGACATGCCTCGGCGTATGAAATGAGCCAGTGTTGCTGCCACATCTTGATCAAGCAGCATGGGCGCAAGGCTAACCGGCTAACCGCACTGCACCATGCCAAAAGCATCCAAAAGCATTGATTGCGGTAGCAAATCACTGCGGCACTTGCGAATTTCAAGCAGATGTTGTAAGGTCTCAGGTAGTAGAGGCAGGCACTGGAAGTTCTGATGAGAAATTGAATGGCAGTCTTCTTTGAGAGCGTATAGTTTGGTGGACCTTTAACGCCCAGCGGCATGGCTTCCAAGAAAGAGATTTGTCCTTTAGCTTGAAGCTCAGTGGTTTAGGAAGGTGCTTGGTGAGTTCAGGGCACATGGAAGGAAGATGTTTGGAGAAGGAGATGTTCTTCAATTTGCTCAGAGCGGCTGAGCTTTGACTTCAGTTTCACCTTGCAGATTGAGAGGAAGATTCCAGATGGAAACCGTAACAACTATCTCCCTGCATCGCAAGCTCTTCAAGGTTGAGACACAATATGGACATGATCGGTATCTCCAAAGACTCCCAAGGAAGCGGCATAGTCTATGGTACGTTTACTCGGACTGTCGCAGGACACAGGTCCCTTCTGGGGTCCTCCATTCGAGAAGGTCCTCCAGATAGGTTGAACAGCTTCGACTCACTTCAGGTCTGGTACCGGCGTGCCCGGCTTCTGTTGGGGTTGGCAGCAGTGGTCCTCACCGGCTGGCGACTCAAGGCATTTCACTTTGAGCCGCTCCCCTCGGCATTTTGGGAAACGCTGCATCGGCCTTGCACCTCTCCAAAGCTTTTCTAAAATCATGATGGGCTGCAGATCTGCCATGCGCAGCAGATCTCCCATGTGAGGCCTGGATAACTATCTTTGGTGCTGGAACCAGGCACCGCGATGGCTCTTGGGAACGCTTGCCAGGGCAGCCCAGCCCAGTTCTGGGATCCATTGTTTTTTAGACTTACAAAGACACACCGCCATATTGAGGAAGTACCACATAGCCATGTTTGGAACTTGGAGAGTATTATTAATGCATCTTGGAACAAACAGATTGAGGTTGAAGTGGGGGAATCCAGCTCAAGGATCTTTCCGCAACTAAGCCCTGCAATGGCGGCTGGTGGAATGATTCCTGCAACGCTCTATAACAATCCATGTTCCATCAGGCTCTTTTCCAGGGTGCAAGTTTAGGTCAAGTAAGTAACCTCGGATGCTCAGAACACTATGAATGGGTGTCCAAGCTATTTTTGTTTGATGTTTCCTCAAGATTTAAGACATCATAAGACAGGATCTCTATACTGCCACAGCCCATCTCCCCATGAGGTGCTTCTGACTGGCTGGGGTTGGGGAGATGCAGTGCTGCAGGAATCTCAGATGTGGTTTCCCCCCACACAGCAAAAAGCAAGGAGAAAATGTTACAAAGCTCCAGTTGAGACCGCATTGGACGGCTTTGCATTGACAGTGGATACCCTTTTGGGCCTATCCTGAGGCGATTTCCCTTGATCCACGACATTGACAGCTTTTTCACCATTAAGCAGGTTGTGCTAACCGTTGGGAAGCCTGAACTGGATGCCGCATCAGTCGCCAAACTATTGCCGACACCCGAAGTCCCAGAATCCCAGAAGTACAAAGATTTGGCCCTTTGTTTGCGCCTCCAGAGTTACTCTTGCATTGTCAAGTAGAATGCTCAGTATGTCGCAGCATCCTTCCCGCACAGCACCGAAGCCTTCGTGACACTCTTCGCTTTGAAAACTTACCAGTTCCATACTTTCAGCAGGACATAACATGAAATAACGTGTAGGCACGTGTATGAATCAAACGGAGTAGCGAATGCTTACGAATGAGTGCCTTGTACTGCCATATAACATCATATTGCTGCGTCACAGAGCATTCGAGCAACACCTGTAGTTCAGATGTGTGCAGTAAATACTGCTAGGAGACGGGTATTGGTGGAGCCTTCAACAAGGCTGTTTAGAGCAAGATTGCCCATCATTGTAGCTTGAGAGAATGTGCTCATTCTCCCACAGGATTGCTTCGGTCTCCCAGTTCTGTTTTGAAAGGTAGATGCGGTGCCGTTGAAGTCAGCCGTTCTTCAGGAAGTCAGCCGTTGGGAGAAGGGACAACGCAGCTGTGGGTGATGGCTCGATATCGATAGGGATCAGGAGCCATAACTTGCCTTTTGCTGATCAAGAATACTCGGCAATGTAAGCATTGGTAATGTAAGCATTGCAAAGAAGTCCTCTCATCGGTCAGTCATCGAAGATGCCCAGCTGGCTTTCTGCAGGGACTCAAGGTGATATGGGTGGTCACGGTCTTCTCGCAAGCCCAGCCAAGCTTATGGGGGATGGGATGTGAAAATGTTTCAATGCGCAGCACATCTGGACCCGGCCTGCCCCCCTACTACATAATTAAGTAGGCTTCTCCTACGTTTTTATATATATATATAAGTAAGGTACTGGACGCTCCTAGCTACTAAACATTCTCCTAGCTACTGGACGCAGGATTGCTCACGCTTCTATTCATTTGGTTCCTAGATTGTTAGGGAAACTTAATAAGTGCAATTCTTTGGAGCTTTAGTCCCTTTTGTTCCAACATATGTGGAACGTCGCTGAAATGAGTCGGGTGTTTTGGCAAAGTCGTCGTTTCTTTTCAGAAATCCTTCAAATTTGAACATGTAAATATGAGCTCACCAGAGATGATGCTGAACTTCATGTTAATCCAATTCCACTGCCAGCTACAAGAAGCGCGCCCCCTTTGCATTTTGCGTGGAAGCCTCGGCATTGTCGGAGTTGGCACTGGGACGACATGTCGGGCTCCAGGTACCAGTAGCACATTGCTATGTGCTTTTGCAGTCTTTCAGATACTCAGACACCCCCTTGGCATCGCTACTGGGGGCAAGAAGCTACTAGGGGCTCCTGGCATCGCTACTAGGAACCCGGGCATCGCTACTAGGGGCAAGGACTACTAGTAGCAAGAATGCTACTAGTAGTAAGGCGCGGAGCCCCATTGTCACCAACTCTCCATAGTTCACAGTGGATTTGGATACCAAAAGGTTGAAGGTTGACCCCGATCTGGGTTGCCAAGTGCCCAGTCCTTCCCTTCCTTTCACTGGTCGGGCGAACAGACGTTGACTTTTACTTTTCAATAGGTTCTATGACAATACTCACTTCTCAGATGTTGTGCACACAACTTCAACTGCTCCTGTACCCGCTGTACCTGGCCCCCCCTCAAACGAGCTTGAGAGATTGAAAGAGGCTGTTCAAAAGCGAGAGATTTGTGCTGTGAAGAGCTTCACGACTCTAAGATCACAGCGATGTCCAGCGTGATGCTGTGCGGGGCCTGAAGAGAGGTTGGTAGTTTGCACGGAGATGTCGGTTTTCAGGATGCCAAAGATTGTGTCGAGACCATTTGTAGAGATCCCAACATGGATATATAGAGAAGTGAGTCAAGCGTTATTGGAATGCAGTTCTATGCCGAGATCATGATGGATACAGAGTCTTGCATGGGCGGATTATGTTGACCAAACAAGCAGAACAAGCAGAGGTTGAAATTCTGAATCGAGCTTTATTTTAAATACCCAATATTACTGTATGTGAATGTTGGGCATCAATCCTTCAAGCTGGGCTTTGTGGGGGTTTGTTGGAGCTGTGGTCAGTGGCTGTGGTTGCCAAAGGCAGGGTAGTTGCCGGAGGGGTGAACTGTCTTGAAAGCACTGCTCATCACTTTGATGGGGGTCCAATGGGCTTCATCCAGCATTTGTTTAGTTAACTTCCTAGACGGAATGTCGATTGATGATACCAAAGGAATGCAAAAGGATCTATATTGACAAGCAAAACGAGAGCTGTCAGATTTCAGTGAACCCTTGTAAGAGACACCGAAAACATGTCCTTTGAGTATCAGGGACAACTGAGACATGAAACCAGGTGATGCACCTTTAAGCCTAGCTGGTTTTGCAGCTAGGCTTAAAGGCCCAATCCAACCAGAACCCTGCGGTAATATCCTATCTTCCAGAAGCAGCAAGCCAGTCTTGAAGCGAACCAGACCTCATGAAGGGTTCCAATATGATAAGATATCGCCCAGATTGTTTCCTGCCTGGTTTCGGGCGATGCCTGTAGTTTCGGTCAAGACAACCGAGGCCAATGGCCTATGCCATGTCTTTGCCTTTAGATGAGATGCAGGAGGCAGCATCCCTGCCACTCGTGGTCTTGAAAGGTTGGACCACCTTTGCCAACCAATCTCAGACTCTGAAACCACCACCTATGTTTCGCAGCTTGTCACAGTTCCTTTTTTTAGGGCCGACACTTGCGCAGCAAAAAAACAAAAGAAGATAAGCATAGCTGGAGGGAGTCAGGCTCGAAGGCATCCTTCGACATTTCATACATGACTCCTGAATGCTTTCGCCTGTACCTTGGGTGTCTTAAAAGATCTTCAAGGTTAACAAAGAACTACTGTATCCGATTGGTTTGGTAAATTGTGTGGGAATTCATTGCTCCTTGTTGGGCACTGCCAAATCTTCGAGAGGGTGGCAGAACGAGGATACACGAAACTCAAGAACCCTACATTGGCAGGTGTACAAGAAGCTCACGAACCAACATGTCGACAAAGATTTGTGCGTCCGTCATGAGCTCAGGAAACTTGGGGGTTGTTCAGCTGGAGAATGTTCAACTCATGGGAACCAGGAAACCCTGAACACCTCCCTATCCGGGTATCACTTGAAGCACTTGACGATGATGTTTGAGGCATCATCCACATCAATATAGGCCGCGAGAGCTGAGGAATTTGGTATTACGTAGCTGACCCAGAAGTTTGCTGGGAAGCCTGTGAAGCTGGGCGCCCAGTCCCTTTAGCTTTGAGATCTCTTGAGGTCCTGATAAAATAATTCAATCACAATCAACCAATGACGACTATGCAGGAGCCATCAAGTGTTGAGCAGACGTGAGTTTACTCATGGCCAGCCAAGGCAAATTTCTGTCATGATGACGAGAACACACCTCCTGCAGTGAACAGAGAAAGGGAACAGAGCATGAGAGAAGATTCTGAACGGGAAGCAAATGAATGCCAACATGCTTTCTGTGACTTCCATGTGCAAGCCAGAAGGATAGCAGAGCAGCAGACCTCAAAGCCGCTCCGAAGACTATCAAATCATCTCTCAGACACTTCAAAGCTCCTTTGCCGATTGATCTTAAGCAATGCAAAGTCGGCCCTCAGCCAAATGAGTGAGATCAAGTGGTCACAACCTGGAAAACGCTTACTGTCAGTGCACTTCATCGGCGATGGGAAGAAGGGCCACAACTAAAACCACAGTGACCCCAAGATAAAGCGGCTGTAAACTCGGCTCAAAGCAGCCCTCAAGTTTGGCTGGTACCACAACACCACCATCCTTGATGGTGCAAGAACCGTGTGAGGCCATCGTCAGCATGATCCCTTAGACAACCTGATAATGACGGAACTTCACGTTGGACGCTCGGCAGGAAGACATGCATTGAACACGAACACGAAAAAGCAGCCAGATTAACCCCTGCCATACCGCTCCTCAGGATGTGTCCATGTTGACCTGTTCCACGAAGGACAAACATGACCTTAGGACGAGGTAAACTGCGGCTGTGACAAATCCGCAATTCCCTTCAACAGCCCAGTGTGTTGACATGTGGAAACAAGCCACGAGGTTTGAGAAAGAAACAGACGGCAGAGCAAGCAGGCTAAGGTAGAGCGAGTTCTTTGGAAAGTGACAAGCTGTGGGAAGGCAAAGCCTGTTTGGGCAACAAGGAACGCAAGTCCAAGATGGAATCGCATCACATATGAGGCCCAATTGTAACACCTCGAGCATCAGAACGACGGAACGTGAGACTGAGAAAACTGGGGTGTGTCACAGATGGCGGTTTAAAGACGCTGTGAAGCTACTGCAAGGTTGAGATATATAATATCAATGCAATACATGATACATGCCACCCTTCAATAACCGTTCTAGTGATCAAACTGTGCTGTGAAACAGAGACTGTTGGATGCTTGACCTGAGGATTCTTACAAGTCCATCAAGCGAACTCGCAATCACCTCTTCAAACGAGGAGCGCTTGTTGCCAACCTGGGTCCAGGCCCACCAAGTCGAGGCCGCCAAGAAAACCAATGCCCTAGTTTGGAATCCAGACATAGCAGGTCCATGCCATGGAAGTACTATACGTTCATGGATCTCTTGGCCTACCCGTGAAAAGTTATACAGACATGTGCATGCAAGTCTGCCTCCCGAATACAAGCCCGACATACAAGCCATGTCCAACTCAGACTATTTAGAGTAGAAGAAAGACATATATTATACCCTCCACGAACCCATGGCGTTCATCAAAGACTCCCCACCAAAACCATCAACGAGCTGTTCTCTTTCTGCCAAGTCAACAGATCTTGAGCGTTCTCGAGCGCACCAACTCCTTGAGTGTCGTGCCGCAATGCGCACCACTGGCATCGCCGTGTTCCTCAGGGTTTGAGGAGGTGGGCGATTGGTCGCCCAAGGCGGCAGAGAAGCTGGCTGAGCCCGAAACCTGAGAAAGATGCCGAGATGAGACGGGTGGGAAGTCATGTATCAAACCGACGCTTACCATATGGATGAGGCCTGTACCTTCTTTCTTTCTGTTTGTCTTTCTTTGTTTATGTTTTCTTTTTCTTCTCATGAAGTGGTTTGAAAAGATTCCTCATGACCCAATTCCCCTTTGAATCATGCTTGATGTACCGAAGACTGAAACAGCAACGAGACCTTTTCGAGGGACTCAATGGACTGCTGGTTCTTTTTTTGAGACGATGTTTTGACCAGCGTGTGCTGTGGGGTTTCTGGTATTGGTCTGGAAGTTTGCATTCACTGGTTAGTGTTGATTGGCATTGTTGCGAGGATAGATTTGCAAGTGGTTTTTGTTGAGCTTCCGTTATAATACACATCTTGGTTTTGCTGTTTCAACTTGGATCCAGAACCAGGATTCGCTCAGATGAATGTTGTCCCAAGGAGTCAGAGATGTTTCTATTTTGCCTTTCATGTTATCCTGGAATAGAAGAAGGAGAGGCTTTGAAATTATTATTATTATTGGATGTTATTAGGCTCAAACTGAGACGTTGGGAGTGACAAATGATGGGCAACTAAGTTCTGAGATGAGCAGCAGATGATAGATGGGGCATGGCCCAAATGGAATTGCTCAAATTGGGTTTTCTCAATCCAGTGCTTCTTGTCCTTTCGCACCACCACTATCCCCGCAACTGCCATTCACACAGCACTCTATTTTGGCATTGGTGCAGCCGCATGATGCTCAGGTTGAGCCCCAAGGGCTGCAGCCCGAAGAACACTGCACTATTCCGAAAGACTGGACGAAGCGTCTAGATTTTCCACTTTAGAAAAGTTGGCACAGATCTCAAGATCCTATTTGCTTGAATCAACAATGACAGCGTTCCTCTTGGGATGCGTGCCATTTGTTCTATTATCATTGGACAACATTGGACTAGTGCAATATTGACAAAACAACATAATGAAAAAATATCAATAATATACATTAGCAATCGCCAAAAAGTGCAAAGACTAATTTAGTAAAGAGTGGTCGTGAAATTTTAGGAATAGTGCTAAAATTTGTAAGAGAGATAGGCCCTCGTAAAAAGTGATATTATATGTCCGCAATTTTTGGATATGTTTAGCATTGTTTACCTTTATTGATATTGCTGCTAAAAATTGCAAAGCATACAAAAGTAATGGGTCCCATTTTAATTTGATAAATATTATTGAATATTATTTTGTTATTTAAAAATATATATATATATAAATATTATGTAATATATTGTAAAAAAATATATATATTAAGCGTTATTTTAGCCTCGAATTACGGTAGCTATTTCCTTATAGATCTTCTCGTTATTTTTATTGCTTTGTGCTCTGAATTTTTTGGCCTTTACTTTATTGATGATAGTTTTTATCTGGTTGCTTTTTATTTTGTTAGGATTGAGGTTGATTTCCTTGGTCTTAAGTCTAGGGCCTATGGACGCTAATGTACCGTTTTTTATATTGAGTGGAACTATGGATGGCGTGAGGGTTGTTCGGGACTCTTTACTCCCGGACGAGAGTGGAGATGGTTTTTTTACTCGAAAATAGAGCTTCTCCACGAAGCCTTTTGAGGTACGGGTTAGAGGAGGCTACGGTCTTGTCGTCTCTCGGCCGCGCATCGTTTAGATTAAAAGGACCTTTAAAAGAGCATGCTTCCGAGCACTGCAACATGGCTATACGCCTTGTCGAAAAGGCTTTCTTTTTGACACCGATGTACCCTGGCGCCTTCGAGAAGCCTATCGGCGGCACTTATAAAACAAGCTGAAGCTACGGCCACCGTAAACAACTCCTGGCATTCGGTGCATGACCTGGAATGCCTCGAAGAATTTGGTCTATGACGAGCTCTTGCATTGGTGTACATCCTAACCCCTGGATATCCTTGCAGGAAATTGGTTGGAATTTTAACTCTACCTGGACGTCCTAGGGATGGTATTATATCTATTTATCGACGAAATATGTAGCTATATTGATGCTTATCCGGAGTATCCTGGCCAGACCTGAACAGATTACCTCGGCCTCTCATTTTGATGGCCGACTTCTTTAAATCCGCCTTTTTTTGGATAGAACATATGATGACTTCATCGTTGTATATTAATATGCCTGGAATGTAACCAAAGGCAAGGAACAATTTCTTGATAATCGGGCCAAGATTTGGACCAGCTTGCAGTAGACTTTGAATCATATTCCGCAGTAGCACCAAATGGTCCTCATGGGTGATTTTAATATCACCCTCAAGTTCGATCCGCCACACATCAATAGCCATGATACCCGTGCATCCTTGAACACTCATACCGATCGAGATCTTCTTTAGCAATTGTTGAAAGCATAGGACTTGATTGCGTTGCATTGTAAACAGTAGTATGCATCGACCTTTGAACATGGTTCCCATCATTCTCGCATTGATTATGTTTTTGTTCGACAACATTAGGTTCAATTTCGTCGTATGCAACCCACCATGGATAGGAGTTTTATGCGCAACTTTGGATGTCACGGACCTTATCATCATCCATTGTTCTTTGTCCTGCCAAGGTGGTTTGCGCCTCGGAAACCAGTGCTTCCTCTTAACAACATTGACAGATTTGCCATCCGTACGGCTAGAATAGAGCACACTGCACACTGGCAGCAGTTCGAGATTCAGATTCGTTAGTGCATCGCTCGACACTCTACACCTCCTCCATCGCATCAGGTATCCATGTTCGATTTGGAACAAGAACTTCGAACCCTTTGTTCTCTTTTCTTTCCCAAAAGAAAATCAAGGGTCCCTCATGCATCCCAGATTTCCTCCATGGCCGCCAGGATGTGGAATGCCCGCAAGCAGGCTCTGGCCGTTCGAGGACGCGGCATCCGCGATCTCTTTGAGTGTTGGGCTCATATCACCACCTTCCGAACCATCCATAAAGCCATTCGTAAATAGAGCAGGCAGAATAAGAGAGACAAACTGCACCAAATTCTCACTGAGGGTGCTGATCTTGCCCTTCATGGACGCATTTTTGACTGGTACCGGAAGATCAGGCTCCTGTGTCCGAAACAAAGACCGAAAAGAATTCAGCTCTTTGATACTCATGGCATGCCTCTTGCACCGAGACAGGAGTTGGAGTCCATCGAACAATACTATACACAATTGTTTGCTGATCCGCAGTTTGACGTCCGGGACCTCGAATCCCTCACCCGCCTTCCCTTCGACCGCCAGGATGTGCTTACTGAGCTTTTGCACCTGCCCAGCACCAAAGCCCTGGCACCGAATGGACTGCCAGCACTGATATGGAAGCATTTTGCGCATGATCTTGTTGATCCTTTAATGCATCAGATTAAGCAGGTTTGGCTTCGATATCCCGTAAATCTTCCGGATCATTGGACAACAGGATGGATCCACCTCCTCACTAAACCGAATAAATCCCCAAGCAAACCCCAGGCTCTCAGACCAATCTGTCTTCAACACCCGGTCAACAAGATTCTTGCCGGAATCCAATGCAGACAGATCATTCTGCAGACGTTCGACAGACTCAGACGTCTTCCACTCTATGCGTACTTGCCTCACAGAGGGACACGTGAATGTCTTCTCATCGTTGCCGAACATTGCAGAAATGTACGCATGATGTGCAGGGCTGTCAAGATTGGAACTCAGCCTAAGCTGCTTGGAGGACTCCAAGTCTCATTAGATATGGAAAAGGCTTTTGACACGGTCAGCCGCACCCTGGTGCTTCGCGCATTGCAGTTGTACCATTTGGATACTGACCTTCTTCAACTTGTGCACACATGGCTCACCCCCCATAAGTACTGTATTCCCTTCAAGCAGTTGATCGGACAAATCCATGCACATCGGGGAATCAAACAGGGGGCCAAAGATGCCCCCTTACTATGGACCCTCACCATAAGCCTTGTACTTGTTGATCTCCAAAACAAATACTCCCATCAATGGCTTCATGAGCACATGGTCGTCTATGCAGATGACATCCACCTCCGGTGGATAATTCGATCAACAGCCCTAGCCCTTGAAGCTCTCACTGACCTTCAACATGTGTTGATGACTCTTCAAGCCTTTGGATTCAATGTCAATCTTCACAAGTCAGTTGCCATGCTTCGACTCCAAGGGAAAGAGGCCCCTGCCTTTCTTCGTCACTGGGTTAGTAGACCACCCACTGGCCCTGTCCTGACGCTGCCCGAACGAAGATGGCAGCTACCGCTTGTGTCGAAAACAGCGTACCTCGGAGTCATCATAGGTTATCGAGCATGGGATGCAGACACGACAGCTCGTAGGATCACAGCCGCCAAATGGTGCTTCCGCAATCTCAGGTCCTGGCTTGTGAGTGATGTCCACCCCATTCGAACCAGACTCAAGTTATACAAGCAATGTGTTCTGGCCACGGTTCAATATGGCGTTCATGAAATGGGATTGACTCACAAGGGATTCCGACACGTCATCAGCATGATCAACACACATCACCGGTCGATTGCACACTCACCTGTGTGTCTCACTCATGAATCCACGGCACATTTTTTTGAATGCATTCGTGAACCACCACCATGGACAACCATCCTCACCCAACGCCGGCGGATCCAAGAAGCCCTGTCGACTAGACGGGCCAAACTCCGCCTTGAAGCCATGGACAACGAGATGCCGGATGTGTGTGTATTCGTCCCAGATCTCTGGATTGAACATTTGGTCAACCCACCGGATCATCACTCCCCCATGGAATGCACTCAGGCAGTGGCCTGTCCTGAATGCCATCGAACCTTCCAGCAGGCGGGAACGCTGAAACGTCACATGAGGCAGGTTCACCAGGTCCCCTGCGAGCCAGACGACGTTTTTCTGCCTTTACGAGACGCCTGGCAAGGACGTTCGATTTGCACGCATTGTTCACACGTCTTCGTTGATTTTTACAGACTTCGTGACCATATCAATAAGCGTACGTGTCCTCGTTTTGATCCTGCTCAGGAGTCGATCGTACTGATCATCAACCGACCAGATCTCAAAATGCATTTGCGCCACAAGTCAGTCCCAGGTCTGTTGCTGAACTCAGCATTGATCAATGAGATTGCCAATCACTGCACTTTTTGTCACATGCGGATTGCTGCTCGATCGATTCGAAAGCACTTCACGGAATGCCATCCGGACCTGGTTCCTTTTGCCGACCATTTTCGTGATCATGTTCAAGGCATGGCCAATATTGGAGGAGGTCGTGGTAGATGCAGTTTTTGTGACAGTGAATGCCGTGACACCAAAGTGCATGAATGTGGGGGCCTCTTTCAGATCTCGATCATGATGGGATACACCTTTCAACCTGAACACTTCCCCATCATGCCAGTAATGCAGAAAGCTGCCAGGACCGGCACTACTGAACCTAGCTCCATCTCCATTCCGCCACCGACACCGGCTCAGCCAGGTTTGAATGCGGCTTCGTCGACCATGCCGACAAGGCCTGAACCGCCTGTCCCTCGTGCCATTGAGGTTGATGAGTCTCATGCATCTCCAACACCACTACATGCATGTCCCCACTGTCACACCAGATTCCTGACAGCCACAGGCCTTGAGAGACACATGTCCACTCATGGACATGAAATTCAGGCAGATGGCAACCTCGTTCGTGCCGCCAAGATTCCGAAACTTGACACAGTTCCGGCCATGTTGACCAAGCCTTGTCAGACCATGGAGACCCCGTCCAAGTCGTTTAGATGCCCATTGTGCTTGGAAATGATTGGCCGCAAGGCCTTAGCCGGCCACCTGTCCAAGGAGCATCAGGTTGTGAAGCCACCGTTCTTTGTCTTCCGCCCTAGTCGTGACATGACACCGGGACGTTTGGCATGTGCACACTGCCATACCACCTACACGTCCGAA